ATGAGACACAAACTGTTAAATAAACAGAAAGAATGTGAACGTCAAATTATGTATACTGATTTTAAGGACAATTTCATTCATGGTATGATGAAATAAAATAGGAAAACGCAACAAATATTAGTTTTCAATTAAAATAGACGCTTTGTGATTTAAAAAATATCCTCTTATCTGACTGACTGTTGTTAATAACTTCAGCCGTACGTAATAATCCTGCATCATTTTCGATGAATAAAAAAGAACCGTACGAATGCACTGTTTAATGATTCTGTCAAAAACAACAATTTGTGTTGAATAATTGTGTGTACACATCACTTTAGTCAAGAATGCAAAGAGGATTTTATGCATCTAACCCCAGATTTATGCAACTTTACCAAAAAAAAAAAAAACTAATGTGGGGAAAATACCTGCATTTCTTTCTTTAATATCATGACCATGTGGAAGTGTGAGGCTCTGAACAAAAACAAAATCTGTCATGATTTGTGTTCATCAAATCTTTGAGTGTAGTTGTTCAAAGTAAAGGTTCAAATTCAGGTCCGACGGTCTTCCTGAAATCCACTGAGGTCTTTTATTCCACCAGTCTGCCACATATAACCTGCTTCCTGTCCACCGTTTTAGGTGCTGATAAATATTTGGTCTCGTCTACAAGGGAGTCCAGAGACAGCAGCCCTTGTCAAGTGGTGTACTTCAGTTTGGGAGTCTGTGAGTTGCAGGAGAGGTTGGACAGAGAAGGAATCCCTGCGGTTGTTGCAGTGCCTTGGCTCTCCACAAACACCGGGTCCAGACAAGCAACTTTGGCAGCAAAAAAAGCATGAATACAGTGAAGCACGGCAAAGAGGTTGGAGAACTCCAGCTCCTAAAGAAATAAAAAAAATAAAAAAAACAACAAGAGACTAGTGAGGTCAGACAAGTACTGTACACTGTAAAACCCGATAAGTTCATTTAACTAAAAATGTTTGGTGAAATAGATTAAATCGAATTATTTAAGTAACTGAACTGAAAAATACAAGTTAGTAGCTTTGACAAAATGTTTTAAGTACTATTGATTCATGTTTTTATGTTAAATAAACATATTTGTTTTGGTATTTTCTACGTGGTATTCTGAGTTTCAAGTACACATCTAAACCAAGTATAAAGTACTTACATTTTCTAACTACTTTTTAGAATTAAAATTTAGTTTCTGAACGTTAACCGTTTAAGTTAATTGGACTCAAACATGTTTAAACACAACAAATTCCTGAAATATCCAAATCTAATTGTTTAGAATTGGATACAAAACAAGAAAAATGTGCTAAAAATAACCAGTTAACTTCCGGCGTATAAGTCGCTCCGGAGTATAAGTCGCATCAGTCAAAAAAAAGCATCATGAAGAGGAAAAAAACATATATAAGTCGCTTCGGCGTATAAGTTGCGTTTATTATGCATCAATGCTGAACTGTCGTGTTTATGATGCGTTTATTTAATGGTTAAAGCAGCTTCATTTTGCCTGGGCAGTACGGCACCATCCATCCATCCATCCATCCATCCATCCATCCATCCATCTATCCATCCATCCATCCATCCATCCATTCATCCATCCATCCATCCATCTATCCATCCATCCATCCACCCATCCATCCATCCACCCATCCATCCATCCATCCATCCATCCATCCATCCATCCATCCATTGTGGCCGGAGCTGCTAGCTCTCCAGCATTCCTCCGCCTGCACCAGCTGAGTGAAGCGAGCACATACGGAAGGACTCGCTGTTGCAATTCTTCAAAATTTAAAGCGTCAATCAAACTTGCATTATGAATATGGAAAAAAAAAGTATACAAGTCACTTTAGGGTATAAGTGGCAGGACTGACAAATCTATGCAAAAAAACATGCGCCTTACATGCCGGAAAATACGGTATTTGATTTTTATTATTTTAAAAATGTTGTTGCTGTAACTGTTATGACTGTGTCAAAAACACTGAACTTACCTTTGCTTCAATGGATTTGGATTCTTGATTTTGGAATAAAAATTTGATCTTGCTTTTCCCGTCATCGGAGGATCCTTTCAGTTGGGAGAATTTGTATCTCCACAGCACAGCCTGAAAGGACAGACATCTTATAATAAGCCCAAGCGCAGCTACATCAGTTTTTATTTACTGCTATTTAATGAAGAACCCCGTCTTGTGTGACTTTTTTTTCCTTCATGAATTATTAATGATGAAAATTGTCATGGATCTGCATAGAAACGGGGCACATCAGCAGATCCGTCAGGTGTGGGCTGTTGAGAGATCTAAATGTATGCGTGTTGTTTTTCTGCAAGTTCAATTTTTGAAAAGCTGCAGAATAATTTCTCGTGAACTACGAGCGCTTCGGTGACTCAATTAGTGCCGAAATGAGTAAACAAAAGCTGCACGGCGAGTCACATTTCAGACTCCTCAGGTGGACGGCGAGCTTTCCACACACATGTGGAGCTCACATGGTGCAGGCTGTTCCTGCCACAGCCTGGTTAAATGTGGTGTGAGAAATCAGGTTTAATGAACACGATATTCTTTTATTTTGATCTCCTTTTGAAATCCGGTGCAGAAACATTATCTTGGTGCAGCAGAAGTGTCACCTCTTCTGCTCTGCCTCTGAAAGTCACTCATGTTAATCCAGTCTGAGATGGTTATATCCTGTCTTCTTCTTCCTGCATGTCAGTCACACACACTCGTACCGCAGTGCCAGTTTGCAGGATCTAACAGTTTAAATTTTATGTTAAAACAAAGGAAATGTTTTGCATGTATTAAACTGCGCTGATCTTTTATTTAATACCAACAAATTATTTACAGTTGTTTACACAGAGCTCGAGGGCTAAAAACATGAAAAAATGATGCTCTTCCATGTTTGTGGAAACATAAAATACTATATTATATACATATACATTTTATATATATATATATATTTATTTATTTATATATATAAATATTTATATATCTATATATTTTTTTTTTTTTTTTTGTAGAAATATTCAAAGCATTATTGTTTTTCGTTGTTTTTATGCAGACACATATTGTCTATGTGAATTATATTGCATTTTAATTTCAGATGATTTTTGTTGCTGGACAAGTATTTACGTGTTTTTTCACTAAACCATAAATTTCTTACCAGTTCAAACTAACTTTTATTTATATGATTTATTTTTAGCCAGCCTTGTTTATAAGTTTAACATGAAAAAACTCGAACTTTTTTATGAATAGCCATCCAATTCATTCATTCATTCAACCTTTATTTAGACAGGTTAATCCCATTGAGCCTCGGGGACTCATTTACAAGAGAGACCTGATTTTAACAAAGAGTGATGACAACAGTGGACAAAAACGACAACAATAGACAGTCATAAAAGATGCAAACAAATAGAGATTTTTTTTTTTAACAAGTGAAAAATGAAATGGTATTTAAAAGGAAAAGTAAGAAAAAAAAACAGCTAGGTTGTAGGGAGGTGTAAAAAAAAGAAAGAAAGAAAGAGCATGAAAACATTGATTTTTCCCAGGAACTTAAAAGATGTTTAAAGCCACTTAGAGAGGTCAAGGTTGAGATGCAAAATGTAATGTTTGCATGAACCATAACAGTTTTAGAACGAGTGTTAATCTATTAGGGCAGAAATCTGCTTTGGAGTCAGCCCTTCTTGGAGCTTGACTCAGCTGTGAAAATCGTAGCATGATAATCTTCCTCTATAATTCTCTGATATAATTCAGAATTCATTGCTCCATCAATGATGGCAAGCCGTCCTTGTCCAGATGCAGCAAAACAGGCCCAAACCATGATACTACCACCACCATGTTTCACAGATGGAACAAGGTTCTTATGCAAGAATGCAGAGTTTTCCTTTCTCCAAACGTAACACTTTAATTTAAACCAAAAGTTCTAGTTTGGTCTCACCCGTCCACAAAACATTTTTCCAACAGCCGTCCGGCTTGTCCATGAGATCTTTAGCAGACTGCAGACGAGAAGCAATGTTCTTTTTGGAGAGAGGTGGCTTCTCCTTCAACCTGCCATGAACCATTGTTGTTCAGTGTTCTCCTCATGGTGGACTCATGAACATTAACATTACTGTGAGAGAGACCTTCAGTTGATTAGAAGTTACCCTGGGGTCCTTTGTGACCTCGCTGACTATTACGGTACACAGCTTGCTCTTGGAGTGATCTTTGTTGGTCGACCACTCCTGGGGAGAGTACCAATGGTCTTGAATTTCCTCCATTTGTACACATCTGTCTGACTGTGGATTGGTGGAGTCCAAACTCTTTACAGATGGTTTTGTAACATTTTCCAGCCTGATGAGCAACAACTCTTTTTCTGAGCTCCTCAGAAATCTCCTTTGTTCCTGCCATGATCCACTTCTACAAACATGTTGTGAAGATCAGACTTTGATAGATCCTGTTCTTTAAATCAAACAGGGTGTCCACTCACATCTGATCATCATCACATTGATTAAAAACACCTGACTCTAATTTCACCTTCAAATTAACTGATAATCCTAGAGGTTCACATACTTTTACCACTCACAAATATGTAAAAATGGATCATTTTCCTCAATAAATAAATGACCACTCATTTGTTTAACTAGGTTCTCTTTATCTACTTTTAGGACTTGTGTAAAATCTAATGTTTTAGGCTATACTGAAATATAGAAAATTATAAAGACTTCACAAACTTTTAAGCACCACATAAACTACTCAGTACTGTATATATCAGGGTAATTATTTTCATATTTATTACTTATGTATAGATAATAGAGCATTCATAAGGAAGAGGAATTTATTGCCTTCATATGTTTGACACTGTAAAGTAATGAAAGTAGTTTTAGCTTTTCATTTATTTGTTTAGTTTGATACTTACTGAATTTAAATATTTATTTATTCATAAAATTGAAGTAAAGCGACTGTTTTTTGCTGTATTCTGCAGAGTTATAACGACTTTAAACATTTTAAGAGGCAAAGGGACAAAGTTAGAGCCATTTTGGTCAAATCATATAAATGAAGTTATGCCTGATTTCATGTAATATTTCCGTGTTGTGCTTATTAACATCTCTTGGCTGTGGCAGCCATCTTAAAGTGAGGTAATCCTAAAAGGCAATGAGTTGTAGATACATCCAATCATTACTTTCTGAAAGTTTCATTTAGATCTCTCCTGTGATTCATAAGATATTTTGCTAACACCACAGACAAATGTACAGACACGAGCAAAGTCATTGTTGCTTTCTGCAGAGGTTTATGAAAAGACTTCCCGCCAAGACAGACACACTGAAACACTGCTTCACAAGGTTTCGATGATCTGTGAGGAACTTATTGTTAAAATGTAACAAGTTTGGTAGGAAACAAATATTTATTTATTGCAAATTTTATAAACTCCTTCCAGTTCAGTGGCATAATGCTCAAATAAACTAGAAAATGTATGAATGAATATGCAGCGATTCGCACTGAATAATTCTCAACCTCCTTCTGTTTGGTTTGAAACACATTGGTGTCTCCTTTGTGTGTGTGTGTGTGTGTGTGGGGGGGGGGGGGGTGTCAGTCTCCTTTTTTTGCAACAACATCATCAGTTGTAAATCTATTTTTCACTGCATCACAACAAGGAGTGTGTGTTACAGCAGTGTCCGAAAAAGTGTGAGCTGAGAGCCCTGAATGAAACATGAGTTGATGCAGAGACGTCTCGATTTTAAAACCACAGCCACAGATAATTGCATTTCAAACACCAGAACTGATTACAGTAAAAGAAAAAAACGTAACCCTAACCCTGAACTTGGAGGTGGCTGTCTGATTGCATGGCTCGGCAGAGTTGAGTCCCTCAGATGTAAAACACTATGATTTGATTGGCAGATACAAATTTCCTACATCAGGACAGAGGAAAGAATCCTGACAGGCGCCAAACGATCAGTTTGTAGCCACAACACACGGGACCAGTCAGAGTCCTGAACTGTGAGTGTTTCAGGCGTGATGACAATCAGCAAATTTACCTCTGCTTGGTCTACGTCACCAATTAACAATAATAATCATTTTATTTAAAAAGCGCCTTTCAGGACACTGAAGGACACTTAACAGCAAGAAACATATCAGATAAGATTGTGTAAAAACAAACACTGTGCAAAGACCAACAGGAATAAGTTGAAATATAAAATACATAAAGTATGTAAAATACATAAAACAAAGTTAAGAAGGATAAGCGAGTCTAAAGAGATGTGTTTCAGAGCAGTCTTGAACAGAGAAAGAGAGGTGGTGTTTCGTAGCTCTGGCGGTAGAGTTCCAGAGGTGAGGGGCAGAGCAGGTGAAGGCCCTGCTCCCCATGGTGCCGAGGTGGGCGGAGGGTACATGGAGGTGTAGCAAAGAGGAGGATCTGAGAGAGCGAGAGGGGATGGAGATGTGTAGGAGGTCAGATAGGTAAGGAGGGGCAAGATTATGGATAGCTTTGAAAGTGGGAAGAAGAATTTTGAAGACGATGAGCAATTTAACTGGGAGCCAGTGGAGCTGCTGCAGGACAGGAGTGACGTGGTTATAGGAGGAGGTTTGAGTGATGACATGAGCAGCTGAGTACTGGACCATCTGTAGCTTCTGAAGAGATGTGCTGGTGAGGCCATAAAGAAGGAAGTTGCAGAAGTCATTCCGGGAAGTCACAAAACTGTGAACAAGGACAGCTGTGGAGCGGGGTGTGAGAGAAGGACGGAGACGGTTAATATTTTGGAGATCGAGTAACATTGTTGATGTGTGAAGTGAAGGAGAGAGTGGTGTCGAGGATGACACCGAGACCCTTGACCTGAGGCGAGGGGGATAGCATAGAGTTGTTCAGGGGGACGAGAAGATGTTTTGACTCTGAAATAGAGTTTTGGTACAGACGAGGATGATTTCTGTTTTGTCACTGTTTAGTTGAAGGAAATTGTTAGAAAACCAGTGATTGTGCTCATTAAGACAGTCGGTGAGGATGGAGGGTGGGTGAGTGGAGTTTGGTTTGGTTGACAAGTAGAGCTGCGTGTCATCAGCATAACAGTGGAAATAGACACCAAATTTGCAGAAGATGTGATCTAGAGGAAGGAGGTAAATGATGAAGAGGAGGGGTTCGAGGACAGAGCCTTGGGGCACACCCGTGGAGACAGGGGAAGACTGAGAATGGAAGGATTTAAGCTGAATGAATTGAGTGCAGTCAGAAAGATAAGATTTGAACCAGTCTAACAGAGTACCTGAAATGCCAATGGAGGTTAATCTGTTGAGGAGGATAGAATGGCAGATCGTGTTGAAGGCAGAACTTAGGTCAAGTTGAGTTTAGGCTTTCATTTTATTTTTAAACAAACACTGGATGCTTCTTATTAAGGCTATAATCACAAACTTCCTTTTCTCATCTGCTCTGTGGAATCTACGGCTGACATTCTGCCTCGATGTCATGCCAGTTCTGCAGAGTCTGATATGTCCAGAGGATAAACATGCGAACAAAAACCTCCATGACAACACGTGTAAACTCCAATGAATCCGTTTCTGGAAAGAAAATAAAAACTGCAGATAAAACGTAACACCTAACACAACTAATCCAAATGTAAAAGTTGTTTTCTGTGTACCATTATCGGTGCTTAAAGTAACAACCGACACAGTATATTTTGTGTAGGAGAAAAAGCATCAGCTGCTCAAAGTTGCACGTTGCTCCTTGGTGTAAAACCGTCTAAACATTCAAAACACTGGCATGTGAAGTAAATAATATCTACTATCTCTAAACAACAAAACCCTGCTAAGACAACGCGCCATGTCACGACACAAGAAATGCTTCAGAAGCAAAGAGATTAAAAAAATTCCTAGGAAGCCGATCTGTTCTGCAGACCCTGCAGATCCCAATCAGATCAAACATCGGGATGTGCCAGAGGAAGTCCAAACCACAGAGGCACCACCCAGAGGATGTGATGCTAATGTCCCACAGCCTCGTATCACAGGACACCTCCAGATGTCCCGATCTGTCAGAAATGTTTAGCACCAAAACATTTTTTTTAACCAACATGGTTAAGAAAGGGTGTTACGTAATCTACTGCTCTTTACCCACACGTGGTTTTTGCTGTTTCTTTTACCGCTTGGTCTTTTCCTAGGTTTACACATTGTTCCTAAAAGGTTTTAAAAGCAGACGGGCTGTATGAGAATAAAATATTTTAGGCCGATCAAAGCATGAGAAGGAGCAGAAGCCTCAAATTAAAGCTGTTATAATAAATTAAAGCCACTTCAAGTCACTTTTAGTGATTTAATGTGGTTTATTAGGCAAAGAGCCAAAAGACTGAGGCCCTTAATTTTTTGGCTCTTTGCTCAATAAATGACAATAAATTTACGAGAGTGATCTTTAAAGCTTTATTATGAAACATTACTGAAGGTTAAATTTATATTCTGATCACAGTTTGATCACAACTGTATGCTCCTTTTTTCTTGTTTGTAAGAGACATCTTACTGTGAAATATTTCAGATTTTTTGGGGGGACGTTACCAGTTTTTTATTTGTGTTTCTTTTACCATTTGTCCTGTTTGTTCAGAAGTCAAGTCTAGATATGACGAGTTTTCAGCAGATCTCTGGGAGTCACCTTGTTGGTGTAAAATACTGTTGTACACCAGTCAATCTGTGCTAACTTTGGCATTTATTTTGTAATTTTGTAAACACAACTTTAAAAATGACAACCTTTTGCCACTTTGTGATAGCTGGCTAGTAAAAAAAAGTGCCTTGTCTTGAGCTGTATGTACAGAACAGAGGTCATGTTTTCATTCTAGAGGGATTTTTTTTTTATATCGACCAATATAATTTAGCGTTACGTTGTTTAACAAATACAAAATACCCCTCAGAATATGGTCTGGTACAAAAACTGTGCTGAAAATTAAATAAAAAGTAGCCAACGTACAAAGAAAGAAACCAAAGTGTCTGAAACACTGTCCCAAAGATTACAGTCAAGTTCGACTCCTTGGAAGCAAAACACAAAGGAATGAGGGATGACTCGAAACTTTTGCACCTCATAGACTTGTCCTGATTAACATATTTTATGCCTTAATCTATTCAGCAGATTATACAGCGGTAAGTGTCTTCTATGTCTATTGATTTATTCACCTAATTATTGTGCACTCATGTGTGAAAGGTCAAAGACGAACAGGCCTGACTACGATATCTGTGAGCTGCCAGAAGAAGCAGCTGACTTGTGAAGACCAACTCCACACATAAACACTGACGGCCACCTGGTTGCACAGAAAAATTATAAATATGCTGTGTATATACATAAAGTTTTCTATTAAAAAAAGCAGTATTAGAAATGCAACCCCTATTCCAAAACAGTTGGGATGTAGTGCAAAATCTAAACTGAGTGCAAGGATTTTTGTAAACATGATAAGCTCATTTTTCTTTCACAATGGAATCCAGTAAACATCACATGTTTCAGCTATTTTTAATTACCGGTACAATTTTTAGTAAAAAAATTAGATAATTTTACTGTTGATTGTAGCAACAAAGACTGGGCAGGGGCAACAAAAGGCTTTAAAAGTAAGTGGTACAAATAAAACAGCTTGATGAGCATTTGGCAACTAACAGGGTTAATCTTTAACACAGGTTATTTAGAAGACTGGATATAAAAAGAGCATTTTAAAGAGGCTGAATCGATCAGAAGTAAAGATGGGCAGAGGTTCACCTATCTGCAGGAAACTGCATCCAAAAACAGGACAATTTCAAAATATTGTTTCTAAAAAAATAAGACTTTGAATACCCCATCAACAGCAGTTCATAATATCAAAAGATTACAAGAATATGAAAAAATATCTATGATTAAAGGACTAGACGGAAAGCCAATCAGTTTGCTGCTGAGAGGATGGCTCTGCAGAGGCTGGTTAAGGCTGCAAAGAAGACTGTGGGGAGCAGCCTTCCCACCACTTCGGACCTCTACGCATCACGATGCAGGGGGAGGGTGCGCCGCATCATGAAGAACTCCACTCATCCTGCACAGTCTGTTCCAGCCCCTCCCCTCAAGCAGGCGACTGAGGAGCATTCAGAGCAAGACCACCAGGCTCAGAAACAGTTTCTACCCTGCAGCTATAATAAAAAAATCCTTGAATCGTTGAATGCCCGAGATCTTTAGGCACTCCAACTGAACTGTATTAAAATAGATTTGAGCCTGTTATCACTGCATGGGCTCAGGAACGCTTCCACTAAATTTGGATGTGAACGCAGCTTGCAGTGCCATCCACAAATGCTGGTTGAAGCTCTATCAGCCAAAGAAGAACACCATCAAGAAATGCTGCTGTTTTCTCTGAGCCAATCATTTCAAATTGAGGAAAAGTGGAAAACTGTTCTGTGGTCATTCTTTTAGATACCACAGAGGCCATGTCCTCCATCTCCCATTATCAGCGCAGAGTTCAAAAGCCTGCCTCTCTGATGGTATAGGGGTGCTTACACATTTGGAAATGCACCATCAATACAGAAAAGTAAATACAGGTTTTAGAACAACATAATCTCCCATCGAGACATCTTTTTCAGGAAAGGCCTTGCATTTGTCAGCGAGACAGTGATAACTGTTCCCTTTCCAACAGCAGTGAGTCCAGGCGCTGAACTGACCCATCTCAGTCTAGACCTCTCACCAACTGAAAACAGCTGATGCACATTAAACTAAATATTCAGCAAAGAAGACCTGGGACTGTTGAACAGTTAGACAAAAATAGGGAAACATTCCTCTCCAAAACCTGAATCAGCTGGTCTCCTCAGTTCCTCCATGTTTGCACGTTATTAAAAGATATGCTTCACAGTGGAAACATGACTCTGTCCTGTTGTTTTGTTTTGTTGTTTGGGTGTCTTAATGCCATCAAACTTAAAATTATCCAGTTCTTTTTCCTCAAATTTGTACAATTTATTAGTTTAAACATTTGATCTGGTCACTGTATTCTTTTGCCAATAAAATATATGTTTATGAGGTTTGCAAACGATTGCTTTCTGTTTTTTTTTATTCACATTTTAGACAAAATCCCAACTTTTTCAGAAATGGGGTTGTGCAGTAAAACATCTGACTGACTCCTGAGTACTTGTCCAACAAAGTTACATTTGTGTTGTTTCTGACAGAACCCAACACGAGTTTTCCAGATTTGCCAATAGCAGCTTTTAATTATGAAGTAATCCCTCTCCTCACATTGTTTGCACTTGCAGTTTATATATGGATTGTGTTTTTGTGCATTTCTCTCTATAAACAATGCTCTGGCACCATAACGATCATCCTTGGGGGACAATGTTGCCTCACATGGCTGGAGTTAGAGCCAGAATCTTAGAGAACAATATGGCAGCTTGAGTCCTGCTCATCAACATAATGTGCACCAGTGAAGGAGTCTGCGTGGCTCTCAGACTTGGTGAAGGGCCAAACTGAACTGCAGGCGTGCAGGAGTGAGAGGTTTGAGCTTAAGGAGGGGGACTAGCCGTCAAAACAAATGTGCTCGCACTCCAAGAGTGCAGAATATGTTAGCAACAAAAATAAGGAAACAGGAAGCTGAGGTGTCATCATTAGTTTCATCACATTATGAGCAACTCAGAACTTTCTTCCATATTTCAGGGGTTGGGGTTAAATCTTTTTTTTAGAAGCATTTAGCTTTTCTAAAGCACATTCACTCATAAGTTGGCAGTAATGCTAATTGTTTGTCAGCAGTCTGTGAACGCTAGGGTTTCTTTTATATTTGCTTTTGTGCACTTTTTATTATGCAGAACAACATATTCATGTAAAAAAAATCCATAAACGCAATCATATTGAGTTGCCTTAAGTTTCTTATTCTCACTATGTTTGAGGTGATGATGCAGCGTAGGCCCACACTCACCTTTGACGCAGCGTCGAAGCACACAAAGCCCATGCTGAAGTCCACTGTGAGTCCCATGAGGTGGCTCTCCATGATGCAGGCGTACGTTTTGCACTGCAGAGCAAAACACGAAGTGCATGAGAAACGCCTCACGAGTGTTGCGCCAGCAAAGGGAAATCACCCCACATGTCCCATTCGCTGTTCACCTGTATCCTCTCCACCTCCAGGAACGTGGCCATCTGAAAAGCCTTTTCCCAGATCAGCAGCTCACACTCCAGCTCCACGCTGAAGAACATGTCCTCCCCGGTCTCCGTCTGAACGCTGAAGCAGTGCCGCCTTTTATCCAGAAGATCACTGTCCTGAGATCAGCACAGACCGACCACACGGCTGACAAGATGCTTGACAGCAACGCAGGTTCCCGGCACGTGTTACTACTAACCAACAGCATTTAGCTCTAATCTGCTTTCTGTAACGTAAAGTGCAACGTAAGGCCAGCTTAGGGCTGTCTGCGTTCATAAATCAAGTTCATAAAAATAGGCTTCCAGATAATGAACAGCAGATAAAGTCTCGCTATCAAACTCAAAGTGACCTCAAACCTGCAGAGAATAAGAAGCAGCAGCCTCGAGTCTCTCAGTAGGAAAGCAGAAGATGACATGCAAATGTACTGTATAAGTGAGTCGTATGAGCACATCCCGCAGGTTCTCCTATCTACTTTATATTCTCTCAAGAGTTTCTCAGAATAAGATACACGTCTCTAAATGCTCTGGGAATTGAAATAAAAAGTACAAAAACAAATGTGATACCTTCAAAATCTTGCACATTATTTCGTACACGGTAAAGCTTTTCTCTGCTCTGGTCCAGTCCCATGTTGTCACCTGAAAACATCACACAACTGAGGTTTGATTTGAGGAACTTCTCTGTGGAAAGAGAAAAAAGACCGTTCCTAAAGGAGAAAACAGCGTTCCTTTACATCACGTGTCAAACTCAAGGCCCGTGGGCCAAATCTGGCCCTTGTGAACATCATGTCTGGCCCCTCAAGAAGATATTTTAAATGTAAAATATTTTATATTACTTCTCTTTTGGCTTAAAAAATAATAAACACTTCATTTAGTGCAGACATCTCCTTACCATTTGCTAACTTAGAAGCCAGAAAAAAAAGGTTAAAATTGTCAGTAATCCTTAATTTTGATGTGAAAAGAGCAACAGAGAATGTCAAATTATACCGATCACAGTTTTGCTGATGAACCTGCAAGCAAGAAAAGATGTCGACTATCTGACTTGAGTTAATGAATCGACTGAAACTGGATCTTGGTTTGGACCAAGTTTTTCATTTTGGCCCCCTTTTGTAACCCAGTTTGACACGCCTGCTTTACAGGATGTTCACCCGGAAATACCGTATTTTTTGGACTATAAGGCGCTCCTTTAATTTTCTCAAAAGTCAACAGAAAGCCTTATAATCTGGTGCACCTTATATATTAATTCTGGTTGTGCTTACTGACCTCAAACTGATTTTATGTTGTTATTGTGAATGAGTTGAACTAAAGTTTGACTTATCTGACTGTTTTGTTTCGCTTAATGCGCCTTATAGTCCGAAAAATACAGTACTTCAAAATAAAATTACATCTGTTTACTCTCCATGAAAGAGTTTTGGGGAAAAAAAAAACAAAAAAAATAACAGGACTGATATATTTATATACAGTGGCGGAGCATATTCATCACACAGGTAACTAGTTTGGAATAAAAAAGAAACCGATCTCGAGTTCTGAACACGCAGACTCTTATGTTCCACCATCCACTTGAATTAGCATATTCCATTTACATCGGCACATTCACACCCGGTGGGCAATTTCAGTTATCTATCCATCTCTTCCTGTCTGCAGCACCGTTGACAGCTTATCCCTCTCGTCATAATAACCCAAATAGCGGGCAGAATGTAAACATAGTAAATGATCAGCATCAATCAAACAGAAGATCAATGCGCCGCAAATTATTATTATGAGCGAGCTGCTTCCAACTTCTCATTTTGGCCATCAACAATATATTAGCAGTGAAAAAGGAACCTCCCTGTGAAGATGAATCCACGCAGGGGTTCGACATGAAGCACTAACATGAACTGTGTGTGACACGGTGAAGTTGAAGAGTGAAAGCTTACGGGAGGCGCAGTGAACTTGAAGAGCGAGGAACCCCTCAGCGCGAGGAACTTTGAGGAGTACATCCGGTCCTGGACGGAGTCCTGCTCCTTCTCGTCCACCCAGCCCATGTAGATAATCTACCAAGCGAATGCAAAGCAAGCGTGACCTTTTCTTGTATTTTAAAACTAAAACAACAACCAAAAAAAACACATTAAAAAGTATTTGTAAAACATTAATTTAGAAAACCTGAGATGCAAATTTGGTTATGAAATCTTCCCAACAACCAGAAGAACGATGCTGAATGATGAAATCACATGTGGCTTAATAAACCCAACACTTGTTTTCTATTTCATCTGATTTATCCTGTTGTGTTAGAATAAATCAAGAAATAATTTATAAGTTGTTGGTCTACAACAAAAATAAATAAACAAACAACAAACAAAAAAACAGTTTACAGAGATGACAAATTCAACAGTATGCAGTAGTCCCTCGTTACTTTGCTGTTCGTTTTTCACGGACTCGCTCTATCGCGGTTTTTCAAAATAAGATTGGACAAAACAGTATTGGCTGATTAATGGATGAGCCGCACAACCGGCATGGAATTGTTATTTAAAATGATTTATGTTAAATTATGTAGCACCTGCTGCACCTGTGTACAGCCTACACAGCAGGAGAAGATTCCTCCTGCAGCTCCTCCTCCTCCTCTGTCAATCTCCATTCTGCAGTGGAGAAGGGGGCGTGGCCGAGAGCGCAGAGTGCAGCCAGAGGGAAGGAGCTGAAATCATGACATGCTGTGCTCTTTTGGAGGGTTTAGAGTTTAGAAACATTGTTTAGAACATTGCAAGAGTGGGGGAA